CTCCAGTGATTGCAGATTGATCCATGTCATCTTTAGGCCTACAGATGTAAAGATCATTAAAAAATACAATTCCACAGTGGTGGATTCAAGGGGTGGGGAGAGCCCCCTAAAATTATAAAAGAAATGGAGAAAAAATAAAAATCATAGGCCTAATTAAAGTTTGTCTGAGAGTGCCATTTCCGGCCATTTTGAGGTGCCATAATCATAAATTTTCTTACCTAAGCCCCAAATATGGTGGGGGTGAGGTAATATTGACCATCTGTCGGTGCAAGTTCATCCCACCTTCTATTTTTCATGTTTTACTGTAGGTCCCTAGACAATACTCAAATGAATGAAAATTTAAATAGGATATTACAAATTATGGATTTTAGAATGGCCCTTAAAATGCTAATTTATCAGAGCTTCCAGAAGATTCGCCCCATTATTTACTGTGTACATATTGCAACGTTTTGTTCTGTCCTCTGAGTTTTTTTAAAACACCCGATGCACATATCGTCCAGAATCTATTTTTCGGGTAACCTTAGTTCATACGTGATTTTATTTAAAAAACATTTGTTTATTGCCATTAGGCCTAATAACATTTACTAGAAAGTTTAGTAAATACTGTACAAAGGCCCTATCCCCATATAGTACGGGTCAGGCCCTTAGCCAGAGCGGGGTCGCCATGAAGCACATTATCATCTGATTTCGGCCTGGTAAACTTATTGGTTCATATAACAAAGTACATGGTTTTATTTGAAAAAAAAATCTTATTACCATAAATAACATTTACTAGATTTAGTAAATAATTTACATCATATTCCTAAAATTGGTATGTGTCTGTGTCTAATTGGCAAAGAGACTAAGAGTAACGGGTTATTGCCTAATGATTGTGAGAATATTTTGTGGCAGTTGTTCAACGAAACACAGTACCACGAATTGGCAGTTCGTTTTTATTTTGTTACGTGAATTATGATTCTGTGCGCTTAAGACAGTTAAATGATCTTGAATTTAAGGTGTGTAAACTTGATATACACTTCCTGTAGGCCTACGACAGGTGTCCCAAGTTGGAAATTCCTGAAGATCTGTTTAAGTGAGCTTTTTAAACACATTTAATTGTATTTTTTCACATGTGCATATTCACACCCATCATCACCCATCACCCAATTCCGTGAGACAATTGATCCTATAGTAATACTAAACATAATGCAAATATTGTGAATGTGCTGGAGAGGTGGTTATTTTCCAGGAGGATTTTGCTTGGTTGTGAGAGTGCGGGATGCCATCCTGATTAGCATGAGACACCCCCGACTTTTTTTTATTACTTTAAACAATCCTTCCCTGTCTTGAGAAAATGAAGAATTCATATTTGATATTTTGAACGAGGCGCTCGCTTTTTGATTGGTTTTATAACGTGCGCAATAAGGCACTTCCTGCGTTCCATAACCACCAGCACGCTGATAAGGTAAGGAACCAGAAAGAACATGTTCCTTTTCAGCCCGTGTTGCGCTGTGTTGTTTTGCCAACATTGTTTGCAACAATATGCAATATTTACGTGTCACAAATTTCATCATATGTACAGTTATTTATTTCCATCGTAGCCTAGCCCCAGGTAGGTAGGTAGATGTATTTCTGTAGGCCTAGGCCGGAGACCCCTCCTTAATTAAAAATAATAAATTTAGGCTAGGCCTAGGGTAGGGGTCCTCCTAGGACCTAGAGAAGTATAAGGGTAGCCTACCCTAGCGTGAGCCTAGGTGAGGTAGGCTATGCGAGGCCTACTTACGTAGGGCCTAGGCTGATAGTTACTGCGCAGGGTTCAGATTGTGTATTGCTGTCTCTTATACACATCTAGATGTGTATAAGAGACAGAGCATGACAAGATAGCAATTATTAAGGGTTCCAACAATTTAAAAACTAATATTACTAATTGAATTGGTCTTTATTAGTAAATTAACAGGTTAAATAATCAGGCCAGGCCTGCCTCGGTATACAGGTTCTAGTCTAATGCGTTGACTGGGCTATTTAAGTCCTAACCTTCTACCCAGCCTCATGGCCTACAGTTATATTGAATACTGATTGCAGGCTGGAAATTAAGGGTTATTTGGTCCCGATTGTTTTAAAGAGTGACAAGGAATTTACTTGGTCACGCTCACTGTGACTGTGCTCACTGTGTCATTTCTTTTCATAAGCGCCAGAAAGGTTTCCAACCAAATCGCAATTGTTTACAACTTGTGCAGCCCCATAATTTTCAGTCAGGCAGTATGCAAAACAATCTATCATTCATTCTATGATATCAACCAATCAGCACGAGCTACTGTTAAAGTGTGACGTCGTACCCTAAAGCTGTGTCTCATTGGGTCAAGAACTGATGTGCACTCATCTCATATTCTTGGTAAATAAGCATTCTCCGTCAAATCGAACAAGACTGGTATTAAAATATCGACTTGAACAAATTTTTACTTTTCCTTAACTTATTTGTTTATAAAATAGAATACTGATATTTCAAACGAGCGTCGTTTGACTTCTTATAGTTTTACGATGGACAAGTAGCAAGCAATAACAAAAATTTAACACAAAATACATCGTAAGTAAACGCATTTAGACATCATCTGGATTGACTGAATATTATACTACGCTCCTTCAAACACGTGGTTGATGATAATTTCAGCCAGACTTTATGGGGCAGCTGTGGTATAACAACATGTGTTTCCATGAGCAACATCTTCAAATTTACAAAAAACAAAAAAGAAGAAAAAAAAGGAAAAAAAAAACAAAACATAGACCTTTTCAGCAATTGAGAAACATAATTAAATAAAGTAATATAGAAAACAATGGCTTTACTGAAAATATTTTGGGCGAAAATTCCTTTACCACCATTCATTTACTGAAGAAGCCAGCCTGCTTCTTCTGACCTACTTTTGTTTGTACCGGCGGCGTACAAAGAGTCAAATGACTTTGTGCCTCGTAACCATTTTGTCTGTGTCTACCATGAGGAGCGTGGAATTGGGAACATTTCTTACTGAATTTTGTAGACGACAAGCATAGTTGTTTCTAGGCAACTGGTAATGGGCCTATATCAAACGATTTATTTCCTTCTTTAAGGTTCAGCAGAAAAAGCAAATAAAATGATTTTCTAATTGTGTTTTTAAATTACAAATTTAATTGATTATAAATAAATATTTAAGAATTTGTTATTGAACTTGGAATTAACAAAGTGCAGCATTTGAATTAATTGATAATTTTAATCTAAAAAAATATTGTACAAGAAATGTTTCTTTTTTGACAAAAAAAAACCCCCAACAAAAACGACATTAATTAAACCAAACTCTTTGCTTCACGCATTATTTGGTTAGATTTGAAGCAGTACTTAGGTGCTACTCGCCTCGTGGCTGACTGCCCCTTTGCTTGGCACACACATGGTTTAGGATTACTCCGCAAAACCTTATTTGTAAACACCACAACTTGTGACGATGCTCTCTGACGATATTAATAGTTTTGTAGTTTGAAGGTGTACTAACAGTTAGTTTTCTTTCTCAATAATTCAAAAAAAAAAAACAACTGTTGAACAAGAAAATGTAACTGTCATTAAAAGTGTAGAAGATAGGCGCCATAAGGACACTCAGAAGTTAGTTGTACAGGTGCAGGCCCAATGTTCAAATTGTAGCGTAAGCAGTGTCGCTGACTCTGCGTGATGCCAATTTTTCAGGCTTAAAAAGAAGCCTAAACGACCTTTGACAGAAGAAACGGAACAACAAAAACAATCAACAAAAAGAAAAACAAGTAGATGAATGAGAAAAGATAGTTTTGAGTCTGGCCTTAAATAGGGAAGAGGAAGAAAGTGAGGTGAGTGAGGGGCGGGGGAAATTCCCCCGACGAGGGGTCAGACTTCCCAGACGAAAGAAAAGTGGCCGTGGTCAGGCTTCGATGAAAAAATTAAGAAAATAGTCCGGGGGCCCATTCTCCGAAAATTTTGACAATTTAGGGGATTCAAAGGCTTATTTAATCGATTTTAGATTCTACTAATTAGTAGAAAATACATATATTTTTTGTTTTTGTCATGCTCATGTATCTCACTAACTTAGTGAGTTACGCCTAGAATTGTTGGTTATCTTTCATACTCATAGGTTCCAAACATGTCCAAAAAAGTTGAACAAAAGCTAATTGAAGTAAATACATGGTTGGCTTGAAAGAGAATTCCCCAACTGATTGTCTCGTACAGTTGAACTTGCCTACAGATTGTTAATTCATACATGCCAACATTTTGATAGTAAATAACGGGAGAATCACCGAACTTTGGCCTGTAAAAGGGGGAGGGGTCAGGAGGGTTTTTCCCCATTACATGGGGTCCAGATTTAGCTATTTAATGTAATATAAGGATAAATCTCATGATTTTTATTATGTGTGTTTCAATAATAAAATTATTGATTTTAACTTGTATGTTTGATAGAATCATATAATTGTCTTGTGTATCTAGGCCTACAGTATGTCTATATGGATCAATTTCTCATTTGCTGGCCTTTTCAGTACAAGATACAAAATCTAGATTCAGTCCTTGTCATAAAATGCTTTTTCAATGGGCTTAAATTAATACAGATAATTACTGGGCCGGTATTTTAGCAATTGTAACTTCAGCTAATTAGTCAGCGTAAGGTCGGGTCCAGCTACGTCACTATTCTTTACAAGACTAATTCAGAAAGGTTGAAATTCAGTAGGGAATATGTATAGGACCATCATTATTTCCATACCAATTACAGCAATAATAATAGTATAATAATAGTAGTAATAATAATAATAGTGGAACACTTTAATATTTACAATCACACATTGTTATCTACTCTAACGCACAAATGGAATCACAAGCCTGGTACAAAAGTATAATGCAATAAAATATATTAACTGTATTTCTCTAATGTGTGTTTGATTGAAAATCTACATTGAATAATGAATATATAAGGATTAATAAATAATTGTTGTTCTATGCTATGTTAAATTTGCCAAGATTTTCACAATTTTTTGAACAGATGATGAAAAAGAACCAGAAAATTTAACCAGCAAAAGACAGGTGAAACAGAAAGGACCTACTATAAAAATTAAGAGGGCAAAGACAGTTGAGCCATCAAGCCTAGGTATGTACTTGTAGAGTATTTTATATTTTGTAGCAGAACATAAAAATGTCATTTACTCAACAATGTATGTTTGTGGGTTTGATTTTTTTTTCATTTAACGTAAATGAATGCTGTAAATTGTTGTTTGTTATTCTGATGAATTGAACTTCACTTTACGTAAACATTTTAAAGTTTAAATAATAGTTCTTCTATGCTATGTTAAATTTGGCAAGATTTTCACAATTTCTTAAACAGATGATGAAGAACCGGAAAATTTAACCAGCAAGAGAAAGGTGAAACAGAAAGGACCTACTAACAAAATTAAGAGGACAAAGATAATTGAGCAATCAAGCCCAGGTATGTACTGGTAGAGTATTTTATATTTTGTAGCAGAAATTTATGATGTCATTTACTCAACAATGTATGTTTGTGGGTTTGATTTTTTTTTCATTTAACATAAATGAATGCTGTAAATTGGTGTTTTTTATTCTGATGAATTGAACTCCACTTTACTTAAAAACATTTTAAAGTTTCTACTAGAACACGTTATATCGTCATTGCGGACTTATAAAATCCGCATACGCCTTAAAACTAAAACAAAATGCATACTTTTGGAGTCCGTACTGAGCCCAAAAAATCCACAATGAAAATATAACATGTTCTAGAAATAAAGTAAAAAATAAATTGTTATTCTATGCCTTTACCTTAGGCATAAAAAAAAAATGAGCCAGAAAAACAATAAGCAAAATAAACAAGCTAAAAGAACAAAGTCAATTGAGCAATAAAACCAATGTATGTGTTGTATTTTGTAGCATAGGTTAACCTTACAGTAGGTCATTACTCAACAATGCATATTAGTCTGGATGGTAATTCTATGATTCATACATTATTTTTCCATTTATATTATGTTATATTGTAAGCCCCTTTTCAATAATAGAAATACTTTGTACAGTATGTATTAATTATTTAATATTCAAAGTCAATTGAGCAATCAAACTAAGGTATGTATTATAACTATGCAATTTTTAAATAACACAGAAGAAACATTACTACGGATAATGAGTGGGAGGCCATGAATCAACGTTTTGACCTTTATTGGGTGTATTTTCAAGAATGACCCAATAAAGGTCAAAATCTTAAATCATGGTCTCCCTCTCATTATTCGGAGTAACTTTCTTTTTATGTTATTTAAACATAATCAATACATCTGGTTTTACAATTTAAGTTATTAATAAACAATGCATGTTTTGGGGTAACTGGGGTCCTATGAATTTTATGTTTATTTAAAATTAACTGTTTCTTTACATTTTTTTCATTTAAGAATTATAATTATGATTTTATGTTAGAACAAATAATGTATATTTTCATTGGTTTTTTTTTAGGCACATGTGCCAATGATTGGCAATAGTGAATATATCACTGTGGCAATCCATTCCACAAGACAAACATTTAACACAAGATACATAAATAAACTAGGTTTCTTTATGAAGTTTAGGGAGTGGAGTTATTTTAATGTTCACCATAAGAAATATCCTGGTGATTTTTTTTTTGTCCGTTTTCTTCTGTTATTGTTAAGCGCCTCAAGGTTGGTCCAACGGGAGGCGCTATACAAATCACAAATTATTATTATTATTATTATTATTATTATTATTATTATTATTATTTTGACCCATGACCCTGGAATTGGAAGGTAAGTATCTTAATGACCAAGGTACACCTTGACTTGCATTCAGCATGTTCAGAGGTCTAAGATCTTGTGCGAGTTGCAAGAGACTCATAGAAATCCGGAAGACCTTGCATGAGCAAGCAAGAATGTCACATAAAATAACCCATCTCCCACAATTCATGATATAATTATGCATTTTACTATGTTTTATCAATTGTCTCACACTGGATAAAGAATGGCCTCATTCAGATTTAGAATCGGAGTATATCCCTGCCTTGAATCCGCTATAGTGAAGTATTAACATAGTATTTATTACTACATTACTTCCAGAAATCTCTGAGGATGAATACCGTGAGCTGTTGCAGGATATATCAGAATGGTTTGATGGAAATAGCTGTATCAGTATGCTGAAAGTATTGTACAGAGATCATGTGACTAATGCTAATATACTGCATAATGCTACTAAAATGCGTGACTTGCTGGACAACTTGCATGACTCTGGGAATCTGAGTCCAACTGATCTTAGTATTCTGTATGACACCATAAATGTAACAAAACAATTTGGTTTCAAACCAAAGAATAAGAAGCTGCTTTCATTATTTCAAAATGTTAGAAGTTTTGAAATATCAAAATTTACATCGCACAGGCAAAAGCTTGTAAAATTAGGAATGGCATTGATTCAAGATGATGTAGCAACTCTTGATGGTTCATTTAACACCCGACAAAAGAAATATGAAGACAGTTGGCATTTGATAAATGATCTGGAGCACAGAACAGTAATTTGTGAAGGAAAAATGGAGGCATTTGTTAAAAAGTTGAGTGAATTCCAACTCCATTCAGCCGTGAAAGCTCTTACTGAAGGTAAGATAAATAATGAACTGACCATGGTTTAATTAGATCAATCCCTGGTTAGTTAGGAGGTGTATCTCCATACCGCAATTTGGGTGCTGGCTTGGCTTGGAAATTTCACCTTTATTTTATTATTGGTTTACATTTCCAAACAACATATAGAGACTTTTTTGTATTTTGCTCTATACAGTATAAACTGTTAACCATGTTGCTTACAGTAAACTACAGACTAACATTAAAAATATACAGCTTTTCTTCATACAGTGAACTTTTGGTTGTTGAATGACAATTTTTTCAACTGTTCCACACAAAAACACAAAATAATTTCTTATGGAGATTTTATTTAAGAAAGTAAGAAACCTGCATTTTTTACATTGCTGCTTCAAAATTTACTAGCTATACCCATAGAGAGTTTTGGTATTTCACACTACAGTTGTGATGACCTAGAATGACCTATGGCACAATATCCTGTCCAACACTTATCATTCAAATAATTAGCTGATAAATATTATTATTCAGTCTTAGCCTAATCTTTTAACGTAAATTTTAATTGCAGGCACTGGAAATGTATCTTCAAACTCGGGACAAGCGAGTGATAAAGGTAGTAAATGATACATTTATAGATGTTAATGTATTCTAAATATCAGGTCAAAGTTCAAATCTCAAATAAGTCAGTATTTGTGACTTGGACTTCGACTTGATATCCAGAATGCATTAAAATCTGTTTATTTTGAAAAATTAGTTCACACATAAAGAGTTGAAAAACAGAGTTTATACTTTCTACTCACACTGATATATGTATCTGTATACTGGTATAAATTGCATAATTAATGGGGTCAAGGGGTTATCAGGTTGATCAAGGTAAGATGGTATTTTTAGGGTCAATGGTCCTGCAACTATGTTCGAAACCCCATCATATCTACTTATTTGCTCCAACTAGATTTGAACTTGTCACTGAGGACTAGTTTGTTGATCCACTTGTCAGGCAAAATAATCTTGCAGCGCTTAAAAGTGAAACATAGAAAAATACTGTAGCCAGGATTTTCATACTAAGAAGGATAATATCAAGTCTTGCCGGGTCGTCAAAAAGAAAGAAAGAAGTGGGGGAGAGGTTAGAAAAAAAACATTAATTTTACCATGATGACGTCATTAAAGTGAAAAATATTTGAAACATTGTTAAAGAAATTTGTCTCGGCTATAACATACTTACAGGTACTGTAGGAGACGATTGATCAAGAATAAGCGAGATACGTTCAAATAAGTATAATAATAACGTCATAAATAAAAATTCAGATGGCAATATGATGACGTCACAATGTCTGATCAGCAATTATGATCTATAAAATCATATCTACAACTCATGTGCTTTCAGAATATGTAATACAAATTGGGGGTCACCTTTCATTCTAAGGAGTTATAACTAACTAAAAATAGGCATTTTTTAAGCATATAATAGGAAAATTAATGTACATGACCTTCAACCTTGGCCTGAAGTTTGTTCCCACTGAATATGATTAAAAAATAATGAATGGTTAAGAAGATATGGGGTCATCAAAGTTTTGAGGAAAGACAAAATGAAAGGGCCAGAAAAAAACATTTATTTTGACCATGATGACGTCATCAAAATGTAAAAAGAAGTCACATATGTAAAAGAATTGTCTAAGATATAACATACTCAAAGTTTGGAGACGTTCAATCAAGGATAAGTGAGATACGCTCAAATGCACATTTTCAAAAATGACGTCATGGATAAAATTCAGTTTCTTTGAAATCATATGCCAATATGATGATGTCACAATGTCCGATCAGCCATTATGATCTATAAAATCATATTTACAACTCATGTGCTTTCAGATTATGTAATCAAAATTGAGGAAGGGGGGGGATCACCTTTCATCCTTAGGAGCTATAACTGATTAAAAATAGGCATGATTTTAAGCATATAATAATTTTGACGCACACATACGCGCACGTTAATGTGCAAACAAATAATTAAGGTACAGGACATTCAACCTTGACCTGAAGTTTATGCCCACTGTGTATGATTCAGAAATGACGAATGGTTAAGATACTCTTGATCGATCATCTCCCAACTTTGAGTATGTTATAGCTGAGACAATTCTCTTTCATAATTGTGACTACTTCTTACATTTTGATGACGTCATCATGGTGAAAATGAATGTTTTTTCTCACCTCCCTCATCTTTTTTTTCCTCAAAGCTTTGACGATTCCCATAACCAATTGGCATTTTTAAATCATATACATTGGGTATAAAATTCAGGCATAAGCATGCGTCAAATTTTTTAAATGCTCAAAATCATACCTATTTTTAATCAGTTATAGCTCCTAGGGATTAAAGGTGACCCCTTATTACATATTCTGAAAACCGTATCTCGCTTATCCTTCATCGACCGACTCCCACATTTGAGTATGTTAAAGCTAAGACAGTTCTCTTTCAGATGTGTACCATTCATTTATCATTTTTGTGATGTCATCATGGACAAAA